CCCCCCCTGTGGTTTGGTGCCCCCACACTCCGTTTTCTTCCCCCCATCCCTCCCAGCTCAAACCAAAGGGGCACCAACCGCCCTGCGGCACCACGGGCACCTCCAGCTGTGTGGCACCCAGTGTGTCACCTCAGTGTCCAGCTGTGTGTCACCCTGTGTGTCACCTCCGACTGTATGTATGTCACCCCGTGTGTCACCTCAGTGTCCAGCTGTGTCACCTCCAGCTGTCACCCCGTGTGTTTCACCTCAATGTCCAACTGTGTCACCTCCAGCTGTGTGTCACCCCATGTGTCACCTCCGACTGTATGTATGTCACCCCGTGTGTCACCTCAGTGTCCAGCTGTGTCACCTCCAGCTGTCACCCTATGTGTTTCACCTCAGTGTCCACCTGTGTCACCTCCAGCTGTCACCCCATGTGTCACCTCAGTGTCCAGCTGTGTGTCACCTCGTGTGTCACCCTGTGTGTCACCTCCGACTGTACGTCATCCCGTGTGTCACCTCAATGTCCAACTGTGTGTTAGCTCTGGCTGTATGTCACCCCACGTCACCCTGTATGTCGCCCCACGTGTCACCTCAGTGTCCAACTGTGTGTCACCTCCAGCTGTGTGTCACCCCACGTCACCTGTGTCACCCCACGTGTTGCCCTGTGTGTCCCCTCCGGCTGTACGTCACCCTGCAATGTCACCCTGTGTCACCTTGTGTCACCTCAGCCCCCAGCTGTATGTCACCCCTTGTGTCACCTTACATGTCACCTGTGTCTGTATGTCACCCTATGTGTCACCCCATCCTGCACTGTCACCCCACATGTCACCCATTGGTCACCGTGTCACTCCGTCACTCCGTCTGTCACCCTGTCTGCCCGTCTGTCCCTGCACTGTGTGTCACTCTGTCACACCATTCCCTGCGGTGTCACCCCATGTCACCTCATCCCACCATGTGTCACCTCGTCTCCTATTGTCACCCTGTGTGTGTTTGTGACACCCCATTCCCACCATATCACCCCGTGTGTCACCCCATCCCCTCTGTGTCACCCCGTCTGTCACCCCTCATCCCCCCATCTCCTGTCTGTCACCCCACGTGTCCCAATGTCCCCCCTCCCCTCCACACAGCGGGTCTGGGTGTGCAAAAGGAGAACCCCACAACCCCCCACCCCCATCTGAAGGGCTCTGCGCAGAGGGGCCGGGTTGTCCCCCCCATAGCTGTGTCCCCCCCCCTCAGCTCTGCCCCCCATCCCCACCAACGTTGATTTTGGGGCCATTTCTCCCGAATTTGGTGCTCCCAGAGCTGCGTTTCCCCTCCGGTGCCCGCAGTGCTGACCGCTGTCTCCTCTCTTTGCAGTTGACATGGACGATGAGGACGGCCGGTGCCTGCTAGATGTCATCTGGTGAGTAACCCCACAGCCCCACAGCACCCCATAACCCCACAGCCCCACAGCCCCACAACCCCACAGCCCCACACGGGGCGAGGACTGGGGGCAGCTCTGCGAAGGCTGATTGCTGCTCCCTGACCCCGCTGTTGTCTTGCAGTGACCCTCAGGCCCTCAACGATTTCCTGCATGGATCCGAAAAGGTGAGCAGCCGTTTCTCCACCCCAGACCTCCCTGAGAACCACCCGCTAATTGCAGCTAATTAATCGCAGCTAATTGCTATCCCATCCAGCAGCCCCCGCTCAGCGCCCGGCCCATTTCCAGGGCGCTTTTTTTTTTTTTTTTTTCCTCCCTTTTTTTTTCTTTTTTTTTTTTTTTTCAATCCTTTTTGCCACAAAACCAGGGGACCTCCAACCCCCTCCTCCCCCCCACTGCTGTTTTTTTTCTTTTTCTATCATTACTTTTTTAATAAATGGCATTGAAAGGAAGTAAACGAGGTCTCTTTAATTACAGATTGACAGTGATGATCTCCTGGACAGCACAGGAGATGCAGCCAGTGCCTTTTTTGAAGGTGCTGGGGTACGTATTTGATCGCTTCATCCTGGGGGAACAGAAACCTTCAGTTTGGGTTTTTAGCCTCTTTTTTTTTTTTTTGTGGTCCTTTTTTGTTCTTTTTTTCATCCTTTTTTTTTTTTTTAAATCCATTTTTTGGTCCTTTTTTTTTTTTTTCCCATCCATTTTTTGTCCATTTTTTGGTCCTTTTTTGTCTTTTTTTTTTTTTTCCCCCGCTTCATTTCTTTTTTACGCTTCCTCCCCTCTCCCCTTTTTTTCTTCCCCCCCCCCTCCCACTCATTTCCCAGCCCCTTTCCCACCCCTTTCCAGGTGCACTGACAGCCACAGGAGGGTTGCAGGTTCCCCCCCCCAGCACTGCTCTCCATCCCCTCTGTGCTCTGTGGGGCGGGCGGTGCAGGGATGAACCCCAGAACCATTTCTGGGCACAAAACTCTCCCTTGCTCTCCACCCGCGGGTCGGGACGGCGCTGCCCTCAGAGCTCAAATCCTCTTTTTCTCCTCCCCTCCCCCAGGTTCTCCATGGGGCAGCCGGGAGCTCCACGATCCCTTTCCCTCTGCGTTCTCCTTTCCTGTTCCCCGTGCTTGACTTTTTCAGCTTGACTTTTTCAGCTCAGCAAATCTCCCCCGGGTTCCTCCCTGCCCTCTGGTGCCGCCGGCGGGCGCAGAGCGGAGCAGGGCAGCCCCCGGCACCCCGTAACTCAACGCCTTCCTCTTCCTCCCCCCACCCCTCGCAGCTGCACGTCCAGGAATCCTCCGGCAACCACCTGACGGCCGAGCAGAGCCAGCCCAGCGCCAGCGTGGACCTCGACTTCCTGGAGGATGACATCCTGGGCTCCCCGGCGGGCGGCGGGGCCAACCTGCCCAGCTCGGAGCAGCCCTGCGACATCCTGCAGCAGAGCCTGCAGGAGGCCAACATCACCGAGCAGACTCTGGAGGCCGAGGCCGAGCTGGACCTGGGCTCCTTCCAGCTGCCCACGCTGCAGCCCGTGGTGCAGGCGGCCTCCGACGGCGCCCCGCAGATCTTCTCCGGCGGCGCCGACCTGATCGGTTTGCAGCAGCCCGCCGTGCTCACCCACCAGGCCTTGGTGCAGCAGCCGGTGGGGGCGGACGTGGTGAACAAAGCCATCAGCGTGCAGCCCTTCCTGCAGCAGGTGGGCCTGGGCAACGTCACCATCCAACCCATCTCCAACCTGCAGGGCCTGCCCAACGGCAGCCCCGGCGGCGCGCTGGGCATCGGCCCCATCCAGGTGGTGGGGCAGCAGGTGATGGCCATCAACCAGCCGGCGCAGCAGATCATCGCCAAGCAGGTGCAGCCCTCCCAGGTGGCCACGGTGCCCGTGGGCAGCTACATCACGCAGACGGCTCCCGAGCAGCAGCAGGTCACCCTGACCTCGGCCGGCGTTTCCCCGCAGGGCGCCGGCTTGGTCATCCAGAAGAACCTCCCGGCCGTGGCCACCACCACGCTGAACGGCAGCCCGGTGTTCGGCGGCGTCTCGGGGACGCAGGGCTCGCAGCCGCTCACCGTCACCTCCAACCTGAGCAGCCCCCTGGTGCAGGCGCAGAACGTCATCATCCACCGCACGCCCACCCCCATCCAGCCCAAACCCGCCGGCGTCCTGCAGCAGAAGCTCTACCAGATCACCCCCAAACCCTTCGGCTCCAACAACGCCACGCTCACCATCCAGAACGAGGCCGCCCTGCAGCAGCAGAAGGCGCAGCAGAACCTCACCTTCATGGCCGGCAAGCCGGCTCAGAACGTGGTGCTGTCGGGCTTCCCGCAGGGCCTCCCGGCCAACGTCTTCAAGCAGCCCCCGCCGCAGCAGCAGGCGCTCAGCAAGCCCATGAGCGTGCACCTGCTGAACCAGGGCAGCAGCATCGTCATCCCGGCGCAGCACGTGCCGCAGGCCATGCTGCAGGGCCAGAACCAATTCCTGCTGCCCGGGCAGCTGGCGGGCGCCTCGGCCGTGCAGATCCCGCAGCAGCTCTCGGCGCTGCCGGCCAACGTGGGCGGCCAGATCCTGACGGCGTCGCACGGCGGCGGCCAGGCGCACATCATCACCAGCCAGGGCCCCGGCGGGCAGCTGATCGCCAACCAGGCGCTGCCGGCGCAGATCCTCACCAACCAGAACATCGCCGGGCAGCTCAACCTGGGCCAGGTGCTGACCTCGCAGAACGCCCACGGCACGGCGCACATCCTGTCGGCGCCCATCCAGCTGCAGCCCGGCCAGGTGGGGCAGCCGGCGCTCTTCCAGATGCCGGTCTCTCTGGCCGGCGGCCTCACCACGCAGAGCCAGCCCTCGGTGGCCGCTTCGCTGCCCGGCGCCGCCGCCGCCGCCGCCATCGGCCAGACGGGACAGACAGTGATCCAGGGGGTGACGCTGCCCGGCCAGGTGGCCATGCTCAACGCGGCCGACGGCCTGGGCCCGGCCGTCAGCATCCAGCCCTCGGGCAGCAGCCAGAGCCCCGGCCTGCTGACCCAGCAGCCCACCTCGGCCGCCGGCCTCCTGCCCTCCGCCGCCGCCGATCCGCCCGCTCCCATCCTGGCCATCCAGCCCCCCGCCGCTCCGCCCGCGGCGCCCGCCCCGCTGCAGCTCAGCGTGCAGCCCCCCCCGCCCGCCCCTCCGCCCGCCCCGCTGCCCGCCGCCTCCCAGCCCAGCCCCGGCTTGGCCTCCAGCCCCGAGAAGATCATCCTGGGCCAAACGGCCGCCGGGGCCGTCATCAACCAGGACTCCATGCAGATGTTCCTGCAGCAGGCGAGTACAGCCCGCGGCGCTTCGCTCCTGTCGGGGAGGGCGAGCGGCGCCCTGAGCCTCCGTGTGCCCAAAGTGCTCCTTCCCGAGCTCAGCCCCTCGCTGGGAGGTGTCAGCACTGCTCTCCCCACGGCCCCCCGTGCAGCACTGCCCGTCTCCTCCCGGAGTTTGGGCTGTGGCTCAGCCCAGGCAGCCCACTTGTTTAGCTCGGGGCTGACGCGAGCGCGCCGTTGGGCAGCACACGTCCCGTGCATCCCGTGGTTCTGCTGCATTTCGGTGCCGGGTTTGGGCCGTTCCGGGTGATTTTATGGCATCCGTTTGTAGACGTGGGTCCGGATCCATCACTGCCAAAGCGCCGGAGTTGTGGATGGAAGTCAGTGATGAGTTCTGTTTGCCCCGCTTTGGGACAAAGCTGCCGAGTTCTCCTTTTGAACTCCTGTGCTCTGAGCAGTGATGCCGATGTCGGTGTAGGGTTTGGTTTGTAGGCGGGTTTGGGTTTGGTCTTGGCAGTCCCCTTCCACCGCAGCTGAGGTTCTGCCCATCAGAGCTGTTAGCAGGGATTTGGGGACCCAACTCTGGGGCCACGACCTCCGATGGCTGTCAGAGCGCGCGGCCCTGGGGGGTTCTGCATTTGGTTTGGTGGAATTGGGTGAAATTCCCACAGGAGTGGCCACGGGGACGGGGTGAGGCGGCCCAGCCAACCTCAGGGGCTGCACAGAAAGCAAACGTTACAGCAGGAACCTGCAGCCCTAAACCCAGGTGGGGGGGCTGCAAGGAGTCCCCCAGCGTTTGGTTCTGCCCTGTTCACCTTGGAGCTTTTCCTTGTGGTGAGCTTTGCGGGGTGGATCTGTGCGCACATAGGAGCAGGAAGACCTGAGATGGAGGATTTAAACCAAACCTTGGGGCCCAGGGGCTCCTCCTGTCCCCCCCATCCATCCATTGGTCCCCACCCACACCCCCCCTCTGCCTCTCACTGCTCCTGAGCTCCCACTAATGCTTGCCCCCATCGCTGCTCACTCACTGTGTTCCCCTCTCTCCCCGCCAGCCCCTTCCTCACCCCCTTCCTCCCGTTCCTTCTGCCCCATAACTCAGTGGGATGAGATGCTGAGTGCTCCAACCCCCCTCCAGCCTCGTTAACACGGACGTCTCGGCGTCGGCGGGCACCACGAAGGCCCGGCGCTCCGACTAACCTCTGCCTCTTTCCTTCTCTGTTGCAGTTACCCGCAGGGCAGCAGCAGCTCCCTGGAGCCTCCCCGTCCCCTTCGCTACCTCATCCTCCCCTGGGGGAGAGCCCGCAGCTCCCGGCCGCCCACCTCCCCCCTCCGCCCTCCCCGCACCCCTCCCGTCCCCCCTCGCAGCCCCAGCCCCTCTCCCGCCCCCCCTCTCGTCCCCATTCGCGCCCCCCATCCCAGCCCCGCGCCCCCTCAGAGCCCCCCGCCCGCTCCTGCACCCCGCAGGCTCCCGGCGTCTTCGGGGTCCCCGGGCAGCTCTCCGCCTCCCCGCACGTCCCGCTGCGCCCGCCGTCCCGTCCTCCCCCCGCGCCCTCCCCGGACCCCCACTCGCCCCACTTCCAGCTGCAGTTCCCCCCCCAGGGCCCCCCCGCCCCGGCCCTGCACCTTACCGCAGAGCAGCAGAGGAGCTTTCAGATGGTCCCGGGCCAATTCCAACCCCTCTCAGCAATCCCAAATCCCGCTCCTCAGCAGAAGCAAATTCTGGACAGGTTCCAGCAGGTAAATGAGTGCCATCCAGGGCCGGGGTCGTCGTTCCGCTCGGTGTAGGGCAGCCGTGGGGCCCCACGCAGAACCCAAACCCAGAGCAGGACCTGAAGCCAAAACCCTCTGAACCTAAAAGAAATCTGAAGCCAAATCATACCCAAAATCCTCCAGAAACCCAAACTGAACCCAGAACGACTCCAAACCTGAGCTCAAACCAAACCCAACCCAACTCAAAGCCAAACCCACACCAAACACAACCCCAAACCAAACCCAAAGCTCGCCCGCTTCCTCCCTGCAGTGGCCTCCAAAGCCGAGCAGCTGGCTCAGGTTCCGTGGGGTCGCTGGTTCCGTGGGGTCGCTGGTTCCGTGGGGTCGCTGGTTCCGTGGGGTCGCTGGTTCCGTGGGGCTGTGCCCACTGCCGTGGCTCGGAGCGCATCGAGGCACGACGCATCTGATCCCCTGGCTGCGTTCGTGCTGCTGATTGCGTCCCCCGGCACCACGCTGTGCAGAACCTCCTGCACACCATCACGTTCGGCACTCGCAGGAGAGGATCTGCCTGGGAAATGAGGCATCAGTGGCTTTTAATTAAGAGGAGGTGTTGTGGTGACAGATTAACTTGTCCCCACAGCGCGCCGCTCCAGTCCTTGTGGGACCCTGTGGCGCTTTGGGGAGCAGTGGGGCTGTGTGCCCTCCTGGCGCTGGGGCTTCTTCAGCGCCTGCCTGGGAAAAATGAGCTTGAACATCCAGCATGGAGAAACACCAGACCTGGGGGTTGGGTGGGGGGGGAAGAAATGGAGTGGCAGGGACAGCTCTTGAGCTCGGTGTGTTTAATTGCAGGTTCATTATGAGAGTTCCCCTCTGGGCGCCCGGCTCGCGTGGGCTCTCGGCAGCAGTGGGTCTGGAGGGCGCGTGCTCAGCCAGCATCAACCTCCCTGCTTTTGCGTCTGAGCTCTGAGCACAGAGCAGGGAAGGAGGGCTGCGTTCCTCCCCTCAGAGTCGCTGCAGAGCTGAGCTGAGGCCGGTTGAGCAGAGCGGTTTGGGGGCACGGTGTTCACCTTCTGCCTCTCGTCCCACGCAGGTGCCGCAGGGGATCATCCTGCAGACCAAGCAGCAGACTCCCACCAGCCAGGCCTCCCCAGCACTGAGCCAGTTCAGCAGCCAGTCCTCCTCCGTCCTGGTCAGCAGCCAGGGGCAGCCGGTGACGGTGACGGCGACGCCGAGCCCCGCGCACAGCCACAGCGGGCCGCCCTCCAGTGCAGGTGTGTGCCAGGAGGGAATCTGGGGCCCTGATGTTTGGGGCAGGGCGTGCTGCAGGGATTTTACACGCCTTGCTCCTTAAAAGCTGAATTCAGTGAGCTGTTGAGCAGCCACGGAGCCAACTTTCCGCAGCTGCGACCAACGCAGGGCTCTGGGTGATAGAACTGCACAGCCCGCTCACGCTCGTGTTTTTGGGAGCCTGAGAGTGGTGTGAGTTTTTAGACGTGTCGCTCCTCTTGCTTTCCATGCCATTGTGGGTTTGTTTGTTGTGTCTGGACAGCAGGGTGAGGGATGCTTCTGTCAGCTGCTCCGTGTAGGCTTGTGAGTTGGGTTGGTTGGTTAGGGTTGAGCAGGGATGAGTTGGATTGGGTTGAGTTGGGTCAGTTGAGTTGAGTGGCAAAGTGTTGGTTGGGTTGGGTTGAGTGGGGATGAGCTGGTTGGATTGAGTTGGTTGGGGACGGATTGAGTTGGCTGGGTTGCCTTGAGTGGTTGAGTGGGGATGAGTTGGTTGAGTTGAACTGGGCTGAGATGGGTCAGTTGAGTTGGTTGGGGATGGGTTGGGATGAGTGGGGATGAGTTGGATTGGGTTGAGTTGGGTTGGTTGAGTTGAGTGGCGATATGTTGGTTGGGGTGGGGATGAATTGGGTTGGGTTGGGCTGGGTCAGGTGGCGTGGGGTTGAGTGGGGATGAGCTGGTTGGATTGAGCTGGTTGGGGATGGATTGAGTTGGCTGGGTTAGCTTGAGTGGGGTTGGGTTGGTTGAGTTGAGTGGGGATGAGTTGGTTGAGTTGAACTGGGCTGAGATGGGTCGGTTGAGTTGGTTGGGGATGGGTTGGGATGAGTGGGGATGAGTTGGATTGGGTTGAGTTTGGGTTGAGTTGGTTGGGGATGTGTTGGGTTGAATGGGGATGAATTGGGTTGGGTTGGGTTGGGTTGAACCGAGTTGAGATGGAAGCAAAGGCTGCACTTTGGAGTCTCCTCGTGGTCAGGTAATGAAGCTAGTCAGTGCTGGGCAAAGTAAGGGCTGCGCATTTCAACTTGCTTTGAAAGCAAAGAGCAGTGAGCACGTCTGCTGAGGCACAGCAGAATTCAGCATTTCAATCACTGCCAGCTGAGCATCCTTGGGGGGAACCTCAGTCCATCAGGACTGAGCTGGGCCCTGACCCAGCGCTCTGTGTCCGCAGGTGGCACCGCCCCACCTCCCTCCGACAGCAAACCCTTCTCCAGTGCTGCTGTGCCCATCGCTGCCGGGAAGGGGCCCACGGCCACGGGGAAGCCAGGAGCATCCCTGGCGATGCCGCAGCCGGTGCAGGTGAGAGCGAGCGGTCACAGCTTTCCACCCCACGGGCACTCAGAGGGCAATCAAACAGCGCTGCGCTTTGTCAGAAAAGGAGGAATCCATCCCCTGGAACAGCTTCCCCCCCCCCCCCACATGCGTTTTTCACAGCTAAAACCATTCCCTCTGATGCTGACGGAGCTTCTGGGGAGGGGAGCTTTGCTCTGTGAGAGAATTAATTACTTAACGAAAGCTTCTTGAGTTCTTGCTGGGATTCCAAACACCGACGCTCTCTCTGTGCCTCCCGCAGACCAAACCAGGGGTGATCAGCTCCGTCTCGGGCCTGAACCTGGGGAAGGGGCCGCTGCAGATCCAGGTGGTGGGGAAGGGACTGTCGCAGCTCGTGCCCTCGGTGCAGAGCCAGCAGCTGGTGAGCTCACGTGGAAATGAATTCCATCCCAAAGCCGCTCCGCTCCTCGCTTACAATCCCTGGCAATCCCTGCTTTCTCCTTTCGCTCATCTCCCCAGTTCTGAAGCAATTAAACCCGTTCCCTGTCTGTTTAGAGCACTTCCAACCTTCACAGTTCTGTGTTGTTAATCCCCTCAAAGAGGCAGAACTCCCCTTAGCACGGATGTGCTCACCCACACAGCTGCTCTCACCTCTGCTCTCACTTCTTTTCTCTCTTTCCCCCAAGTATGACAGCAAGCTGGGGAGCCTGAAGAAAACTCCCACACTACAGCCCAGCAAAGAGGCCTGGTGAGTGCGGCAGCTCTGGGGGCTGAGGGGAGGGCCAAAGCATTGCAGCTTTGGGACGTCTGCGTCCCATGGGGGGTTTGGGTGAAGCTGTGCCCAGGGAGCGCTCAGCTGAGGGTCTGCTTGTTGCTGCCTCTCCCTGGGAGGTGCAGTGCTGTCCTGCAGTGTCAAAGAGTGCTCCTCCCGAGGGCTTTCCTCCAAAATCCTTCTGGGGCTCCTTCTCATCCCGAGCACAGATCCTGGCCTTGTCCCATTTCAGTGGGGAAAGTGGGGATCGCACCCTTGCAGCGCGTGCTGAGCTCCGCAGCAGCTCTGTGCTCTTCCTCTCTTGCAGCTTCTTGGAGCAGCTGCACAAACATCAGGGGGCAGTGCTGCATCCCGATTACAAGACCTCCTTCCACTCCTTCGAGGACGCCTTGCAGAGGCTGCTGCCCTACCACGTCTACCAGGGGATGCTGCCCTCCGCCCAGGACTACAGGAAGGGTGAGGGCTGGAGGCTCTGCCTCGCCGTGATGTCGTAGCATTGCCAGCAGAGCAGGCACAGCTTTATTTTAAAAAAGGGAAGAAAAAAAAAAAAAAAGGCAGCGTGTTTTTTTTTAGTACTAAAAAAGGAGAAACTCCGTGCCTTTGCTCCAGAAAAACACAAATTCCCAGGGCGGCACTCGAGGTTTGCCAGGGATTCTGACCTGAAGTTTTCCAGCACTCCATTAAAGACGTTTCAATGCAGTGCTTTGAGAAACCACTGCAACACAGCCCTGAGCTGTGGTGTGGGCACTTAACGACCCCCAGGGGTCTCACAGCAATTAGCAATTACCAGGAACCCTTCTGTCACAGTGGGCTTCCCAAAGTCCCCGCCCCATAAAGCTCCCCCTTCCACCCCACAAAGCTCTGTGCCCCAGAGCCCCCCCCAGACTCTCCCCCTCTCTTTCTGCTCTCCTCGCAGTGGATGAGGAGTTTGAAGTGGTGTCCACGCAGCTGCTGAAGCGCACGCAAGCGATGCTGAACAAATACCGCCTGCTGCTCCTCGAGGAGTCCAGGGTAAGGCGTCCTCCCCGCGCACCGGGGGGCCCACAGCACGTGGACACCCACCTTGTGGGGTCTGTGGGGCAGTGAGGAGCTCGGTCTCTCCGTGCTGACAAAGGCAGGAAGAGCTTTCCTGCCCCTGCAGCTCGGGCTTTGCATGTAACTGATGCTTATCGCGCCGTGAGCTCAGCGGAAGGCGGCTGTGCTCTGAGCTCTCTTTGAGTGGGATGGGGAGGACTCAGGGAGGGTGATGCTAACCTCGCAGCCTGCGTCAAGACAGCGCTTTGCTGCTCCGGCCCTGTCCTCTAACGAGCCCTTCTTCCTCCCTGCCCTCCCCTCTTCCTCTTCATCTTCCTGCCCTACAGAGAGTCAGCCCTTCTGCGGAGATGGTGATGATCGACCGCATGTTCATCCAGGAGGAGAAGACCATGCTGGCGCTCGATAAGCAGCTGGCGAAGGAGAAGCCAGGTGGGAAGTGCTCTCCTTTGCCTCTGTGCCTTTATAACTGCGTGCCTTCATGCTGTCCTCCTCAGAGGCCCCACGGGGCTCAGAGCAGGGCAGTTCCCAGCTCCGTCCGTCAGTCCGTCCCTTCCCCTTCATGGGGCAGTAGCTGTCAGTCTGTTCCTCCCCCTGGTGGGGCTGCAGCCTGAAGCTTTAAACAAAGTGCAGCGTTCAGGCCCCTGACAAATTGCTTGTTGTTCCTGGCTGCCCTGGAGATTCTTTATTTAGGTTTGTGTTCAGTCACTGCGTATCCCCAGGGCGAGCTCGTTAAGGGATAAACTTCATCAGAAGTGGAAGGAAGGACCTTTCCCAGAGGGAGGAGGGACTGAGCAATAGCAGCTGGCCGGGAGGCAGAAAGTAAGCCCAGCACAAGCAGGCAGCTCAGCAAAGCCTGGAGTCATTTCACAAGAGGTGCTGCGAGACCCACAAGTGCTGGTTCTGTTAGCTGCAGAAGTGAGGGCTCCCACCACAGCTCTGCCCCTGGTTCTTTCCACGGGACTCCCTGAGCAACCCGGTGTGCTTTGGGGCGCCCCGGAGGGCTCCCAGGACCCCCCGATGTCCTGTAGGGCGCTCCAGAATGCTCCCCGAGCTTTTAGTTGCGCTCTGGAATGCCCTGGAGGCTTCCCAATGTGCCCTGTAAGACCCAAGGACCTCCCAGTAGACCCTAGGACACCTCAGAGCGCTCCCTGGGCTCCTCAGTTTGCTCCAGAGCGCCCTAGAAGTTTCCCAGTGCACCCTAGAGGCCTCCCAAGACCCACAGGTGTCCCGTCGGGCACTCTACAGTCATCTCTGAGCTGCTGGTTTTCCTCTGGGGTGCCCTGGAGGCTTCCCAGGACTCCCAGTGTCCTGAGGGGCACCGCAGTGTGTTTCCAGAGCTTGGGGTTGTGCTGTAGGGCCTCCTAGAAGCTTCCCATGGTGCCCTCCAGGACAGTGAGGACTCCCATTGTCTTGCGGGGCTGTAGCTGGGCTCCAGGGTGCCCTGCAGGGGCCCCTCGCTCAGCTCTAGGAAACCCTGGGGTGCTCCCTGGGCCTGTGGCCGTCTTGTCAGATGCTCTGGAGGACTCCTGTTGATCCTGGAGGGCTCAGGCTGACCCCCGCGCCGTGTTTCCCTTCCAGATGAGTACGTCTCCTCGTCGTCCCGCTCCCAGAGCCTCTCCTCTGCAGCTCTGCAGCCCTCCTCCTCCTCCTCCTCCTCCGGCCTCACGCCCGCGGCCGACAGCTCGAAGGCTCCGGCGGTGCAAACGGCCACGGCCATCAACCCCACCAAGCTGGTGATCAAACACAGCGGCGGATCCCCGTCGGTGACGTGGGCCAAAGCCTCCCCGAGCCTGGACGGCGACGACGACGCGCTGCCGTCGCGCAGCAAACCGCCCATCAAAACCTACGAGGCGCGCAGCCGCATCGGCCTCAAGCTGAAGATCAAGCAGGAGGCCGGGCTCAGCAAAGTGGTCCACAACACCGCGCTGGACCCCGTCCACCAGCCGCCGCCGGTCTGCAGGGTGATCAAAGCCGCCGAGCAGCACTCGGCCGCCGCGGGCGCCGGGCAGATGAACGGCACGGTGGAGCACGGCAGCGCCGCGCCGGCCGAGAAGAAGCCGGTCACCTTCTGCCGCCTCCCCCTCCGCAAAACGTACCGGGAGAACGTGGACGCCTTCGTGGCCGAGAAGCCGGCCGAGAAGGGCAGCGGCGCTGCCAAGGCCGACAAAGTGCTGCTCAAACAGGAGGACGGGTCGCGCGGCGTCATCGCCGCCCACAAGAGCCACGAGGGCGGCGCGGCCGACAGGAGCCGCGCGGAGGAGAGCTCCAAGCTGCTCTTCTTCGGCCGCGCCGACGCGCGCTCGCTGGTGCTGCACGGCAGCCCCGTCCCGCAGAAGAGCGACGACTCTACCAGTGGCCTTATGAAGGAACTCGCGGAAGTGGAGGAGGAGTTCTACCACGGGATGATCAAAACGGAGCCCCCCGACCACGGCCCCGGCGCCGAGCTCACCTGGGAGGTGCCGCTGCCGCCCGCCAAGCGCAGGAAGTCCGAGTCCTTCGAGGTGGACAACGCCAGCTTCTCCAGCGACAGCCCGCAGGACGACTCGCTCAACGAGCACCTCCAGAGCGCCATCGACAGCATCCTCAACCTGCAGCAACCTCAGACTGGCGGCCAGAACGTCCGCACCCCCTCTTCCTCCTACAACTCCTCCTCCTCCCCCTTCTCGTCGCCCGTCCACCGCACGGACGCCTACCTTGCCCCCAATCACAACGGCGGCCTTGGAGCGAGGACGTTGAACAGATAACAGCGACCCTCACGGAGCCGAACGGCGAGCCAAGGAGTGGGGAAAGGCGGGGGGGGGTCCCGCAGCGCTCGGCCCCGCGGTTCTTGGGGGGTCCAGCGCCGCGTGCGGAGCGGCGGGGCCGGCGGGTGTCGTCGGCTGTGTAATTAGAATCTGTAACAAATCGCTGATGACGAATATCTGATCGGTCTCTGTTCTCTTCCCCCGCCCCGGCCGTCCTCAGCGCCGAGCAGGTCGGAGTCAGAGCCGTGGGAGGCCAAAGAGGACTCTGCCGCCATGGCCGCGGAGGTGACGTTTCTTCTTCTTCTTCCTTCTTTAAGTTATTTCCCACCCTGCGGGCCGGCGGACCCCCCCTCATCGGGCGGAGCGCGGCGAGACCCCGACCCTAACGGCTGCGGCAGGAGCTTACGGCAAACAGAAGCGGGAGGAGGAGGGGGGTCCCCACCCCTGTGCCCCCACGGCTCCGCGGCGGCGGAAGGATCGGGGCACCGCGGCTGTGCCGAACCGCACCGAAGGCGCCGGGGGGGTTTTGGGGAGGCACTGTGTGCTCCTCCAAACGAAGCGTTTTCCAGTGCCCGCAGGAGGATTGGTTTCCTCGGGGAGCGTCGGCTCGTTCCCTCCTTGCCTTACCGCTCTTCCCTGCTCCACACGAAGGCAGTGACCTCCAGAGCCACCGCTGCCCCACTTCGGTGTGGGTGAGCCCCCACCCGTGGCACGGACGTGTTCCGTGGGGCTGGGATGTGTCCGTGTGTCCGTGTGCGCACCGTGCCGCACCGCTCCCAGCGGATCTGCACAACGGCGGCCGCCGCGCTGGGAAAGGCTGGGTGTGAAGAAGGCAGAGTTTGGGTGGAGAAGGTTCGGTTTGGGGAGCGCCGAAGTTTGGAGAGCATCGAGTTTGGGCAAGGCCGAATGGAGGGAAGGCTGAAGTTGGAGGATGGTGAGATTCCGAGGAGAGCTGAATTCGAGGAGAGCTGAATTCGAGGAGAGCTGAATTTGGAGAACGATGAATTCAAGGAACGCTGAATTTGGGAAACGCTGATTTTTGGAGAGCGCAGAACTGGGGGAGCACAGCAGCTCTCCCTGCCCAGGAATTTCCACCTGAAAAAGGCAGAATTTGGGGCTCACCCCACTGGAGGAATGGCGGGGATGGGAGGAAACGCAGTGCAGAGGCCGAACCCCACGCACTCCGCGCTGCTCCAAGCCAGGAGGGGACCATCAGAGCCACAGCGCTGCGTTGGGACCCCGCACCCCAAACCTCGAATTCGGGCGGCGCCGACGCCAAATGCGCGGATCAGAACCGTCTCCATCCCTACAACCAAACCGAGGGTGGTACCAGCAGGGCTGGGATGCTGAATTCGGACCCGTCTCCATCCCCGCAGCCCGACAGAGGATGGCGCTGACGGCGCCGCGACGCGGAGCTCAGGGATTCGCACCTCGAGGTCGGCACACGCAGCGCTCAGCGCTGGGCCGTTGGCCTTTTTTGGGGGGATTTCACCCAAATCGATGCCCCCCAGCTCCCCGCAGCGCTGCGCTTGGCTCCGGCTCCGCACGTCCGCTGGAGCAGCGCCGACTGCTGGCTCCGCCCGCCGGTTTGGTTTGTTGTTTTTTTTTTTCCCCCCCCCTTTGCTTCATTTCTTTTTCTGTTTGCTTTATTTCTATTTTTTTTCTTTTCCCTTCTTTTTCACTTTTTTTCCACGAGGAAATTCTGGGTGCCGGCTCCGGGCTCCGCCGCCGTTCGCTCTCAGCTCCTCGGTGCCTGAAATCCCCCCGACCGCCGCACCGCTGCTCCGTGCCCCAAACCTCCGTTTGCCTTTTTCTGCCCCGTTTTGCCTTTTTTCAGCCCGATTTCACCACCGATCGGCCCCGTCTCCTCCCAACCACTCCAAAACGCCGAACCCTCGCCCCCGTTTCTCCTCATTTCACACCCAAAAGAGGCCTTAAAAAGCGCCCCGACTCCCACCAGGATGATTTCACCGCCGAAAAGGATGAAATCTGCCCCAAACCCCCGCGGTTTGGGGTCAGCCCTTCTCCGCCTCGTCGGCTCTCGGGATCCCACGCCCGACTCCGCTCCTTTTTGCCCCAAATGCCCCCAAACGGGGGCCGGGCTGTGAGCGCAGCACGGATCTCCTTGCAGCCCCTGCGGCTCCGTTTGGCTCCGCTCCCCGCGGCGCGGCAGCAATAAAAGGGACGGCGCTTCCCGGCGCAATTATTCGGCGTTTTCTTTTTTATATATACGTATATATATATAAAAAAAAAAAAAAAAAAAGAAAAAAACAAAAAAAAAAAACCGAAAAAAAAAAAACAGTAATAATAATGTATATTAAATCGTTTGGTTTTCGTTTAGTGTCTTAATTATTATTTTCCAAGCCCGAAGGAAGTGTGTGGATTGGGATCGATCGCGCGTCGTTCGTCCTTTCGCTCTGCCAGATGGAGCCGGCGGAGAACCCCCAAAATCGCCCTTTTTCCACCCAAAAATCCCCCGCAAATCCGGAGGGAGATCCGCGCCCCCCTCCCCTCCCCCCCTTCCGGAGCTCAGCCCCCAAAAGTGGGGAA